GTTGTTACAGAGTTATGTAGACGAATGTATTATATATTCGTATATGTATGTTATGAATAACTTTCGTATACATGTTCTTTCATGTAGAAGACCGGTCTTGAAGCGAGGAATTGCTGCTTCACGTTATTAAGGCAGTTCTAAATGCTATGTATGTCTAGATACTTTATTTTATATTATATCGGAATTACTTCTAATCCGCCATATCTGATGGAATCTTATTGCTGCTCCGAGAAGCAAAGCTATTGTGCTACCGGAAAACATTTAAAAATTGTTTACTACATGAACGTTTGTTCACATATACATTATTTAAAAGATGATTCGGCTGTACAGCTCTGTTGGATTACATACTACATTTCGTACGGCGATTGACATATGTCTCCTGTTTGAGTCACAGACAATTAATATCGAACGCGCTTTTAGTTTTCGCACAGCATGCTGTCGATTCCGTTCCTGTTCATTGTTCACTAGTTGTCCTGATCAGGCTATAAACATTATGTTTCGCCAACGAATATACCATTGTGGAACTACATTCGTTTAATTTTATATTATGCGCTGTTGTCATGACATAGGTGCTGCTCCATACGGCCAGGCACCTCCAATGCCGTACGGACAAGCTCAACAAGCGCCCTACGGGCAACCACCACAAGGTATGCAACGCAATACATATATTGAACAATACGAAACGTATATATGTGTTTTATTATATTTTGATATTCAAATAGGCGGCATCAAAATATAAATTAGTAGCACATAATACATTCTCACACGTTTACCTCGCGCATCTTGTCCCATCTTGTGTGCAACAGCCTATAATCAAGGGTACCCACCCCCACCCACTCAGGGAGCCCCAGGAGTCACGGCATATCCCCCTGCCGGCAGCTATGCACCTCCTGCACAGACTGCGTACGGTGCGCCGGCGGCGGGTGAGTCTTGTGTCATGACAATGTCGGTTTATATCGCTTATATGCACATGAAAGCGCAGCGGATTTCCATAGGTGGATGATTAAGTATACACCTATATAGGAAAATCATGATACATAACAAAGGGGACAAACATGCACGAGAGTATGTAGTGTGGATATAAGCGTGCAGCGCGCATATTTAAGCAGGCTGCACACGAGGGGTGCCGAGTTTGAGTTTGAGTTTGAATTTGAGTTTCGAGTTTTGTACAGTATTGCCTCAAAGTGTGTCTATGTTATTCGCAGTTGCACAGCAAGCTATGAATGTCACGACCGAATGAGATTGACGCCTTAATGAGTTCTGCTCGCTTGCATCGCTGGTCGTGCTTCTTCACTAAACTTATGCACTTGTTCACATCTTCAGGCTACCATGCGCCGCCACCTGGACAGCAAACATACAACCCGCCGCCTGCAGGTGTGGTAATTGTTTTTGGCTCTACTACGGGTCACTATGCACGGTGCCGGCATCCTGTACAAGGCGTAGTCCAATTTTTGCCTTTCTTTCGTCGTGTTACACTTGGAGTATATCTTGTACGATCTAGAAGCGTGGGTGATTTTATATCGTAGCTGAAGCATCATCATGTGCACTAAAGATATCTGACTGAGTATTGCATATTGAACTTACAACACGGTGGAAGTAAGGAACATCCATATCACGTCTGTGCTACGTACTCGAAATCCATCCATTTTGGATAAGCACTTATCCATCAAACCGTTGTCGTTCTGGTTACACCGCATCACAGGCGCACCATACGGCAGTGCACCGCCTGCATCGCCATACGAGCAACCACCTCCAGGTATGTTGTTTGTTGAATGTTTCTGTGCTGTATTCACGACTTTTAAAACTGCCGTGGTGGATATGCATCTTCAAAAAGCAGCTAGCTAGATGTCATGCAACCCCTCTACTATGATGATCTGGGTATGTGCACGAGTGCATTTGAAAAATAAGTGGTAAATAATTTACTTTGAACTATTAAAGGTCGAGCTCCATACGGTCAATCGCCCCCAGGACAGGCGCCCTACGGCCAAGCGCCACCAGGTCAGGCTCCTTACGGCCAAGCGCCACCAGGTCAGGCTCCTTACGGCCAAGCGCCACCAGGTCAGGCTCCTTACGGCCAAGCACCACCAGGTACGGTACCGGCTGACATTGAGCATACCACACACACCACACACACACAC